CGAATGGGGTACTTGTCAGCGTCTGGAGACGATATCCGTGTCATAGGCATGAGTCGCTTCGACTGGATACTTCTCATATTACTTCATTATGGCTGGCACAAGTCTTTGGATCTCAATCTTTTCTTTGGATGAATACGAAACGACGTATCATGTATATACGATTTAGCAACTTGATAAAGTTAGTTTTATTAAGCCAAAAGCATTTATATTATATTGGGATTGCATTGTTTAATCTTGTACTCGCACATGTATATTAGCTAGGGTTTTTCGAGCTACTTATGTCGGGTTAATTCTGCATCGACTACCTAGCCATTTCTGAATCGTACGTTAGATCTCTGTATAGGTGGAAAGACTTTGTCCAATGAACAGCACCAATACTCCATTTCTCCTTTTGCATCCTAGTTTTTATTGGGAGTACACATAACAGAAAATACTTCTAAGTGTTTATGATGATACATGCTACGGCATGGATCGGTCGGTGGAGCATCTCGTGTCTTGTCTGAGCATAATAATGTATATATAGAGTTCATATTTCAACTCGCGTTCTCAGCCTTTCCTGTCGGCTCATACAGTATGGCTCGATTGGGCGCTCCCAATATTAATGTCGATAGTGCCAATATAAGACGCTAAAGAAGCGCACCTCATCTAGCGCCTTCTTCGCTGAAACCCGCCAGCTACTTAAATGAAGAGGTAAATCTATCTATGGTCATGGTCTCATGAGGAACTTGCTTAAGGTCTGATGGAACAGTTGATATATCCAACCACGAAGCTTGCGATTGGGTAAGTTTTGCTGCGCGAGCTTGTAAGTTTGCTAAACTTCTCTATCAAAAGAGAGTTCCTCTCATTTGATTTCTTGTTGCATTCATGATGGTCGCCGATACGGAAATGTTATCACATCTTTGGATTAACCATACATGAAGTTCTATATTTACACCATCTAATATAAACGGAGTGGCTATCGTTTCATATTTGAATGATAGTCTGTCGTCCGTGACTATAAAGTCTGCTTCATGTAAACCTAACTGGTACTCGTTATACAGTGCGACAGCGGGATTGTATCATCTGTATCCATCGAATCATGGTCATCGCTGTCCGAGTCGTCGATATAATTTAACGGCAGGAGCTGGTAGGCCGTCCTCCAAAGCCCCAACATCAAAGCTCAGCTCTTAGTGAAGCTCGGCTCTTAGTGGACGCGGATATTGAGGGCAGCAAGTCTCAACATATCACGAGACTCTTTAGCATCTCGTATAAAAGCAATCATATCATCATTTGTAAAAGAGTCAAGAAATCCAAGTGCAGGTTCCTGACTGAATTTATATGGCCCACATAGGGCAGAATTCGCGCTGTAAACTTCATCTCGTTCACTTGGTCTCCCTCGTCCGACGCATGTATGATATGACGCAAATTTACGCCGTCTTCATCGTCACAGTATGTCATAATAAGCGGATGTAATGCCGGGAGAATGAAAAGAACGTTCACGAGGTAAGCCGTCAAGTCTATTTTTTCCAGCGTGAGCCACACCAAATCTCGGCAACGCCCTAAAACCCAGAGATAGGCAGCATGAATCGCATGGGCATGTATGCGCTGCGAATCAATAGATGGCTCAGCCCGGGAAATGACGTGTCGGTGATCTGAGCGAGTGGTCCGTCTTGATTCGTGTCTCAGGAAACTGAAAGTCTCCGGGCTACGTGCATTCGTACCATGAGGTGGTATAGTAACCTATCGGTCAGTCGCGCAAGCCCCGAACTAAATGTTCTGAGGATGTGAGCTCTGACATAACCTCAAAATCGAGACCAAGTCCATTTATGGCACATTTACACGGTTGAGGAGTAGTTGTGCCAGATAAAGACAAGCCTTCAAGAGCGCCTCGATGAAGATACTCATATAAGTGCTGTGGCCATCGATGCGATCTACTGGATGGCTGCGGATCCATAGATTTCTCAAGGCATGACAACGAGCAGTAATGAGATCCAACTCATATATATCCTGATCTTCGGCGTATTTGAGGTACTGCAAGGTAGATGGCTGAGTAGCATAGGTGGTCGGTGTTTGGAGGAGGGAAGTCAAGTACATAGATAAGGACATCACTCGTTGAAGGACATGCAGGCACGTCAGATTGGGACATAGATCCAAAAGAAAGCGGAGCAATGCACCTATCCCAGACAAAGGTTCGGCAGCGCTGAAACAGAATTTTTTGTCAAACTGTTCGCGAGGGTACTGGTCGCGCTGCTCCAGAGGGAGACGATCGAGAAATGCGTATCCATGACAGTGAAATCGACTTTGGCAACATCTAGTACAACGTATTAAAAAAAGAAAACGAAACTAAAAAGCGATGCAAATGACTAAAAATTTAAAGCTTACTACCACTCTGTATAAAGGTACAGCACATCCTTTATCGGTGCCTTGTTATACATGTTCAGCTGCTGCAGGCCAAAATCCAGATACACCTTTTATAGACGTCGAGGCATACTTCACAGCGTCTTGCGTCACTGTTGACTCGGAAAGACCTGTCCATCGCTCTTGGTTGAGATGCTGAAATGCATACGCAAGCAGCTCTAGAGTTAGTACAGCAAAGGGTCGATGCGTCTCCGGATCGTGAGGTTGGGCATCTCAGCTTTATTTGTTTCTTTAAATCTGCTTTGATGGTCGGGTGTCGTACTCATGCTGCTTTGTTGGTGACAACAAAAGAAAATGAGGAACATGAGAAGGAGCCAGCGTTCAGCACAAATTCAGTCATTTCTACTCTTCAGTTATTGGAGCGGTCCCATTCTGGTCTTATGACATGTGGCCACCCTCAAAAAACAGCCAAAGCATTTTCCCTTTGTTTTTCTATTACAATTACGGGAAAGAGCCGTTTCTTCCTATTCGACTAAACACGACCGTGTTATCATTCATAAGCGTGTCTTCTCCCGAAGCAGTTTGGAAGGCAAAACATCGCTGCGATAGCACTAGCCGAATGGCGTTGTAATTATTTATCAAAGCGGAATCAGGTTGCTTTGGTCTCTCCAAAGTCAAAATGAGAATAGGCTCAATACCAGATGTAGCCTGTCAGAGCGACACCGATACATATGGACAACCCTGCATGGATTTCTCGAAAAGCGCCTTATATTAGTGCAGCCATTTTTTCCTTAGGTAAGCCTTGAGTATAGAAGTACCAATATCGCACGAGCCCAGCGCCATAAACTTCAGTTGGCCGCTATGAAACAAAAAGAGAAAAAGATCAGGTCAGAATTGATACGAAAAAGTAGCATCACAATGCATCTGTTCGAGATAAAGACATCGTGTTACTTGAACGCACTTTATCTAGATTAATGGTAGCTCCATTGCTCCAGCTAAAGATCTTTGGATGACCTTTTGGTCGTGTCGAACGAGCAGAACGAGCATGTATTTTATGGGTCTTTTTATATCTCCCCGAGCTGATGCGTTCTAAAAGCTGAGATATACAATGTCGAGGTTACCGGGCTTGTGGGCAATGAAGATCATAATATACCTGACAGCCATGCTTGCTCAAGTGGAGCAGGACTCACAAATCGCCGCAAATTTCAACTATCTAAGCTTTAATGTGTCAATGACGCAAAACGACTTCCCACACATGGTCACTGTCTATTAGCGCACTCTATCAATTTATCGAGCCGTTTTTTATGGTATACGTGATGTTTTGTTGACGACCGTCTCAGGAAGCGAGGCTAACAACGAGGACGAAATGATGTTGTATAGGGACTTCTAAGGCTGTTGTATTGTAGAGAAGAATATGTCCTACATTCTTGAATTATACGAAATGTGCATAAACGCCTGATAGATCGCGCCAGCGGTCCTCAAGGCAGGCAGATATAAAGATAAATATCTTCGTACGTTACAATAGTCTACTAATGGTTTCATTATGTATACCGCATAGGAAGTCATAAAAGACGTACATGGGTTATACAAGAGCTAAACTAAGATATTGCCCAGAAAGGGACCCGATGGGATAGGGGGACAGTATATACTAGACACCTCAATGGCCAGGCAGGTATACATACCGTTCGGTGTACAGCATAGCAACATTTTCTTAGCAGTCATTTTTACTCGTTAGTAAAAACATTATCAGCATTGGAGACCGCATTAGTCTAGTTAGGCCTCTGTCTGTACTAAACTATTTTACGGGGTTCTTGTGCAGACCTCTACGGTGCAAGCTCACACAAAACAAATTCCTTTAATGTGAACGTATGTCAAACCTTCCTTTACTATACCCATAGATCCTCTCAAGGTCAATCAGCGCGAGTAATATTAAAATATTATGATCGATGTCCGAATAATGTATCTTCGTCTATCTTCACATAAAATTTTATCTATAAGCCTAGGAGCCGTCGTCGTTACCATCAAGGTCAGTATATATTGTGCCAGGCAATGTCAAACAAATGATCAGGAGGGCTGTCGCGCATACTCATAGATCTATCAATATTTCTAGAATTCCATGCTAGCCTGATGGCTTTTCGTCCTGTATCTCTTCTGTAGTTCTGTTCCTCTTCCTTATACACGGCGGTGCTCCGGTTTGATACAATTCTTGACGAGACACATATGTATTTGTATGTGCTCCAGGATACCTCGCGGGCAAATCCTTGTCTGAATCTATCTTCGCCTTTCCCATTTCGTTCATCTTCAATCCCTACCAACTGTGTCTACCAAAGCAGCATCTTCGCGCTCCGTCAAGCACATTCACCCGTTGTCGTTATGTCTCTCGATTTTAATAAATAAAAATAGATACTGTAGTACTATCTACATACCATAACGTATTTTGTTTAGGTTCGCCTTCATTTTGTATATGCAAGCCCCTCTTGCAATATATTAAAAGACACGTCTATATTCGCTTCCTGTATGCAGTCACCATCCTCATAAATAATGTGTCCTAAAAAAAAAATCGTGATCTTATTCACCTTGTATTTTTCCGCCAGAGGTGTCCAAAAAACCTAACGACATCGGAAAAAAAGAAACTCGAATGGTCTTGTTCGAATTTTAACGGACGCTCCTGGGTGGGCTCGAACCACCAACCTCCTGATTAACAGTCAGACGCGCTAGCCAATTGCGCCACAAGAGCCACCGTTGGAGAGTCCCTTATCCTATATAATATAGCATAATACAAAATGAATTGTTGAAAAATAAGAAATTATTAGCCCTAAACCCTATACCCTAACAGAATCGGTGGGGCATCGCTCTTTCAAATCATATCATATCATATCATATCATATCATCATGTCACCTTAATCTCTATCGAATCTTATAAAAAATAAATTGCAGATAAGGAAACGCGTATCTTGCGTTATAGTTCACTTCAGATTACCACAAGCGACGCGGCGCAGAGACCGGCGGTGTGGGGCGTTATTTGTAAGTTGACACCAAATGTGATTGATGTAGTATTGTAGTGAGCACCAGTCGAACCACAGAGATGTGTTCGGCGTGTACGAAAGGGTAAAAAAAGGTAAGAAGAGAAAAAAAAGGTAAATCAGAGGAAATGCGTCTCTGGATATAGTAAGAAAAAGAGCAAGAGGAATTATGCGTCTCTCGTGAAGTAAAGAAAAGAAATAAGAGGAATTGTGCGTCTCTTATGTTAAAGAAGAAAAGGTAAGAGGAATTACACGTCTCTTGTAGAAAGGTAGCGGCTTGTGTTTGTCGATGGAGGAGGCTGTTCCAACGGAGACAATAAAATGTGTTTGAAGAAACTGTTATTGAAGTATTGAATATTGATATTGGGGTAAAAGGGGAATGGGTATTTATACTATTTTTGAGAGTTTTCTACTGATGTTATGTTGTAGGGGAGGAAGTGGTGAAAAAATGAAAAGATGCACACTTAAGTGGTTGAAATATAAAAAGATAGATACTTAAGTGGTGAAAAAAAATAAAAAGTGGTGAGTCGAGTGGTCAAAAAGAAAAAAGATGGTCAGTTCGAAGTGGTAGAAAAATAAAAATGTGGTGAGTTCCAGAAAAGGAAAAGAGAAAGAAGGGCAAAATAATTCTATGAGCTAAGCTCATCAGACTGAGCAGTCTCACATGTGCTCGGGGTCGGTTGAGGAGCGGCCCGCGACTTCTTTTTGTAGGTAGGTCGGATAATGTTGCGGATTAGGGCTTCGTTTTCTTGAGGCTCGAGGTCGTCTCGCCAGAAAAGAGTGCGATAAACCTTATATTTTTGATGGACTGTTGCATTTGATTTGTCTGTGATTTTCTTAATGTTGTGGATGCTCGACGGTCGCTTTTCTCGGTGTTGGCGGATTTCTTCTTGTAATTTCTTGACGAGGGGTCTTTTTACTAGTAGGCCCTCTGTTGCATCATGCCAGGCAAAACCTTGTTCGGCAAGAGCGTCAATGGATCGTTCATCGATGTTAAGTGGGCGGCAAGCATGTATGAGTTCGTTCAGGTATCTTTGTTCCTTGGTGGGTCGCACCATGGTATCGGGGAGGATCTCATCGACAATGGATGGTTCAGGCAGAGCGGGGTTGGTGGCGTTGTCGACGGCATTATTATTGTTCGGAGCTGGTTGTTCGGCCTGGTATTGATCCAACATGGATAAGTACACCGTCAACTTTTCTTGCTCGTTTGAGGTTGATCCGTCGAGGAAACTTGTGTCTTGAGACGGTTCCTCGAAGTGGGTTCTTTCTTGTAGCGGGAAGAACGGCTCGAAAGGCATCGTCTCCACGAGGGTGTTGCCTTCGGTTTCCAAAATTGGCATCATCCAGAGTTCTTGTGCCTGAGTGGGATGGGCTCCCAGAAGCTCCTCGATCGTCGGGATGTTCTCGGTCAAGGCTTGGTTCTCTTGAGCGAACGTCGGGGCTTCCTGCATGAAAATGGGCGGCGTCTTCAGGAGTTCCTCGATGGTCATGTTCATCATTGGGTCTTGAATCGGGTTCATGTTGTAAAATTGGGTCACTGAGAAGAGAGGATGTAGCTGTGTACTGATAGTGTCTGAACTCGGCTTTTGGCAGAGTATATATACGCAATCGATTTCCGTGGACGATGTCTTTGACGGGATCTCCAGTGGGCGTTTTGAGTTCGTAGGTGCCGCGTCGTTTAACTTTGTTGATGATGTATGGGCCTTCCCATTGGTCTTCAAGTTTACCAGACCACGACGTGTCGAGGTAATTCTTGTAAATTTCAACATGGTCACCAATTTGGAACGGGGGCTTGTTTTCTTTCTGTTGCGCCAAGATCTTGTTCTGAATAGCACGGATTTGATTTGCTTGTGCGAGGGCAATGGCACCTGCTGCTTCTGTTCTGATACGGCGTAATCGTTCAAGTTGCGCATCGAGGTTGTCAGGTGTTGCATCAACATCGTCAGTCTCGTCGGTTGGTGTATCACTATCTCTTTGTGGATCGTCATTGTCATCTTGGTCGGCTGGATCTGCAGTATCTTCTTCTGTTGTATCACCATGCGTATGCATGCTTATTTCGCCTTGCATGACTCGGTCAAATGGTGAATAAGCTTCTCTTCCGTAAGTGAGGTAGAATGGCGTTCGTTTCGTGGTCTTGTGTTTCTTTGTACGATAGGCGTACAACAGGGCCGGTAGGTAAATATGCCAATTTTCTTTTTCTTGAGCCGGCAATTTGCGTAACATTTGTCCAAGTGTGCGGTTGAATCGTTCGACAAGGCCATTGGTTTGTGGGTGATATGTTGATGAAAGCTTGTGTGTAATCGAATATTGCGTGCAAACGGCATCGATGATCTTGCTGGTAAAGGCAAGTCCGTTGTCGGTGATAATTGATTTGGGCGCGCCATGACGGCATATGATGTCTTCGTACAGGAACAAGGATACTTCAAGGGCGTTTGCGAAACATAGGGCTCTTGCTTCAACCCATTTGGTAAGGTAATCCATGGCGACGATTATATAGCTTTGTCCGGCTTTGGAGGTAGCGACGTGTTTGATGTCCATGCCAATTTCGGAAAATGGTTCTTCAGTAACCCGGATAGGATTTAGCTTTTCGTTCAATGTTGGTTTTCCTTGACGTTGACAGCGATCGCATTGACGTATATAATTGCGTACGTCTCGGGTCATGTTGTCCCAATAATAATTTTGTTGTAATTTGTCGAGTGTTGTCTGATATGCGAAATGGCCACCGAGTGGGTGTTGATGTGTCATCCAGAGTGCTTCAGGGGCATCCGTTTTCGTGAGGACTTGACGTGGGCGAATTTTGTGTCTTCGGTAAAGTCGGTCGTCTTGTACAAAATAATATTTGCGTTGTGTTTTGAGCTTGTTTCTTTCGTCGGGCGTGATATCGTCTGGAAACTCGAGAGTCTCCAGGTAGTACTTGAGATTATTGTATTTGTTGTCTTCCATTGTTGTTTGAGTGTAGTTGAGTGGTTTGGTTTGCTTGATATTTTTTTTTGTCTGATATGAGTGTCGTGTTGAGGTGTCCGGGTGATATGGTCGTCTTTGAAAAAGGAAATGTGCTTCGCTTGCTGAGTTTTGTGACGTGTTTTAATAGCCAAGTCTTGACAAAAAATCAGCGTTCTTGTTTTCTTTTCCTGGTCTGTACTGTATGTCGAAGTCGAATTCGGCGAGGAATGTTATCCATCGTGCGAGGATTCCGGCAGGTTGAGACTGGTTGATGAGCCCATGCAATGCGGAATGGTCGGTTAACACTTTGAATCGTTTTCCAAGAAGGTACGGGCGTAGTTGTTTTATCGCCCAAACAACGGCTAGGCACTCCAGTTTCGATATTCCGTAGTTGCGTTCAGCGCTTGAGAGTCCACGACTGATATATAATATGACGCGTTCGCGATTGTCTTCATCGAGTTGAGAGAGTACGGCACCGAGTCCTTGACGTGACGCGTCGGTTACGAGTACGAACGGTTTATCAAAGTCGGGTCGAATAAGCACGGGTGCTTCAGTCAGTTTTTTCTTGAGCGTCTCAAAAGCTTGCGTCGTTTCCGGTGTCCATGGTTTTACAACGTCCTTCGTCTGTTCGTGCAATGGTCGAGCAATAGCGGCAAAGCGTTCAACAAATCGTCGATAATATGAGGCGAGGCCGAGAAAACTTTTGATGTCGGTGACGGTCTTTGGTAACGGATAGTCTTTAATTTTGGCGACTTTATCTGGGTCGGCTTGCAGTCCATCTTGCGTGACAATATATCCAAGGAACTTCAATGAGGTCTTGAAAAATATACACTTGTCCGGGTTCAGCTTGAGATTCGCGATTCGTAGGCAGTCGAAAACTTTCTTGATATCGGTAAGGTGCTGGTTCATGTCTTTGGAGTAAATATTCAAGTCGTCCATGTAGGCAACGACACAGGTGTTGATGAGAGGTCGGAAACAAATATCAACGAGCCGCTGGAAGGTTGCTGGCGAGTTGCTGAGGCCCATTGGCATCATGGTGTATTCGTAAGTTCCAAACTTGGTCGTGAATGCTGTCTTTTCAATTGACGCTGGATCCATAGGTACTTGATGAAATCCTGCACGCATATCTAGCGCTGAGAATATTCTTGCTGTTCCCAGTGAGTCGAGTAATTCGTCGATGCGTGGTAACGGGTATGCGTCTCGGCGTGTGATCGAATTCAATTTGCGGTAGTCAATGACTAGGCGATAGTCTCCATTCTTTTTCTTGACAAGGATTATCGGTGAGGCCCATGGACTGTTTGATGGTCGTATGATTCCGAGGCGGCAAAATTTGTCCAATTCAGCTTTGAGTGCTGCTGCTTCGACTGGCGCGATGCGATATGGTCTTGTTCTGATAGGAGCGACTTCTTCGGTCTTGATCTCGTGTTGTATCAGGTTAGTCTTGCCAATTGTGTCTCCATCCCAGTCGAAGATGTCTTGATAATCTTGAATCAAATCAATAAACTGATTCTTGATTTCTTCTGGTACATCAGTGTCGATCTGTATTTTGCTGGCTTGGTCCTTCTGTTCTTCGATATTCGTGGCAAGGCGTTCCTTCTGTTGTAATATTTTTCGTCTGGCGTTGACGTCAATGTCGTATCCGGATGGCGTGTCTTCTTCAGTGTCGAGCATGACGAGTTCTCCAACGTATGTTTTTGGGTTGAGGCGCATTGGCGTTGACTGCTTGGCTTCCATGGTTATACTGAATTGATCTCCTATGGTTCGTATGATA